TATACTCTCAAATGACTATAACAATGTGAACATAAAAGTTAATACTTTTTGTGTTTTTCGGATATCCAATGTTAACATCGTATTAATTTGTTTAGGCTTCTTATGGATGAAGTTTATTATAGACGGAAATTCAAAGTTCTTCCAGGATAAGACTTAAGCCATCTTTCATTAAAATCGGTCCATCGATTTTTGGGCTGCATCGTTTTATTTTATATTTATATCTCACTGGTGTTTAAGAGTCCTAATGCTGATATGACAATTTTTGTAATTATATAAGTAGCTTATTAAAAATATATATTGTTAAACAAATAATTTTAAATGTTCCAATCATTGTTTATAATTGTTTTTTAATGTGTTAGTTTAAGTTATTCGCTATACATATTGAACTTATAACTATTTGAATATAATAAACCATTGGGTAATAATTTGTAAAGTTTTTATTTCTCTATTTAATGCCAATGAAACAATTTAATCCCTTTCTATTTTGGTTTATTATTTCCAACCATTATAATGGGACCAATAATTAAAAAACTAAATCCCTCTCCCAAAATTTGAGGTTTTACGTTTCAGAATACGTAGAATTCGAAAAACGAATAAAAACATTTTGGCCGACCGCTTTCCGCGTATTTTCTCCAAAACTATTTGACCGATATTTATCAAATTTGGATTTAATGTCAGATTTCACCCGAAAATGACCCTCTTACATCGACGTAATTACTAACCGCCTTTTTTTTTTTTAAATTAATAATGAGCAGAAAATAAAACCTTGGTGACGGAGCTCTGCTGCTCACGCCTTTGTTTTTTTTTTTGACGGGTCTTGGTCTTCGTCTTGCAATAATTAGGCGGCCTTGGCCTTGGAAAATACAATGACCAAGATCGATTTTGGGCAACACTAATCATCTGCTATTCATCTTAAAATTTCGGATTGTAATGATTATAGTTATAGCGAGTGCCGCTTTTTCGCTGATCCATAAATCTGTATGGTGGATGTTCATATTTGCTTAAGTAGGTACGTACATGTATTTAACGTCTATTTTACGGTGTGAAGATTTGAGCCTTCTCAAAAAAAATGTCAGTCTAGCGAATTCAGGATTTGTTTAAGTAATCTTTCCATTTTGGCATGTGAGCCCCATATCATCGTTCTGCTGAATTTATTCTAAGGTAACATTCTTTATCCGTTTGAATATTTGATATCGGCAATAAAAATTAGTGTCTTGTCCAAATGTGAAACTTATATACTGTGATTTTTCCGTGATTTAATGTCATTTTCCGGATTGCATGTAAGCAAGGATAGTATCCAGTGGTATCTATTTCTGGTATTTGTTTAATTTCTTTAAGCAGGAAAGGAGATCTCTGATCCTTTTTACAACTTTTTAAATATAAATTTTCTTTTTTCACTAACACATCCTCCGGTTATATAAAAACATATAAGAACCTGAGAATATGAACAATTGTGTAAAATAAAACATATTTTATTTGTTTAAAAATGTATGTAATGTATAATAAACTTTCAACGAAGGGAATGCAAGATTTAGAGAAAATAATGTATAAATACACATAAATTTGTGACTCTTCTCACCGGTATTGAATTAATTCTCTTTTAAGTTAACTCATAAAGACCCATTCCTATCCACTCCTAAATTATTTGGGTATCATTGTAGAAATGTTTATTTATATTTTCAGATCTGTTTAATGAGCCACAATTTTTTTTTAAAATAATAAATAAATGTTTTAAAAGTTGTTCTATTTGGGATGTTGATTCATGCATTCTTGCCGATGGATATGCATCATGAGAATAATAATATTGAAAATGTTTTATTTATTTTTTCAATGTTGTAAAATAATTATTAATATTTTTTTATCTTCTTTTGTTGAGAAGTTATTGGCTAATTGATTCAGAGGTTGGCTTCCTTAAATGCTAACAAATGTAGTATTTGTCACAGCTTACTTACTTGTTGACGTTTCGGCATCTTTTTTCCCATCTTCAGAACTTGCATTGCTGGGAAAGATGGGAAAAACGATCCCGAAACATAACAAATAATTAAGATGTGACAAATAAAACATTTGTTTGCGTTTAAGGATGTTTTTATTGTCAACCTCTGAAATAGTTATTAATCTATTATTAGGGGTTTTGTTGAAAATATACCGATTGTTTTTAACTACAATACATAATTGTTATTTGGATTTGATCCATATAAATTGTGTACGAAATTATACCAATTTAAAATTAAACTGTCTCTGCATATAAATTATTAAAACAACATTTTTGATATTATTTTGTATGATTCGAAATTTTTTAACACGAATTTATGAGATAAAGCGTAATTATCATGTAGAACATTATTCATATTTAATAGATGCGTATTTTCCTTCTTTTTATTTCTAAATAGTAGTAGATATAGGAAGTAGAAAAAACAACAACAATAAATTGGTCGGTTATTAATGTATTTTATTTAAAATGCTTACTGAAATATAAATTATTCAATTTTGTATATGAAAGATTCGAGTTGGATATCAACCGTTTACTTATAAGTTATAAATTGTGAATATTTTAAAAAAAATTTAGCAAAGCATTGTCGAATAGTACAGCTTTTGACAAACAGATTTTATTAGAAGTCGTTGAAAAGGTGGAGTCTGGTGGGGGTCGGGGGAGTGGAACTTCACTATATAAGACTCGCCAGGGTGAGAGGCTGCATCAGTTCATCCCGCAACGACAACATGAACAAGGTAAAATCACAACATATATAAACATAAACATACTGACAGATAAACATATAAACTAACATACTATTGCGAACACATCCAAACTAATTGATCCATAACAATTAACACGCTCTAGGCAAAAGTATAAGATTTTTCCTAAGATTTTTTTTTTAAAGATTTTTGACTATGAAATCAAGATTTCATCTTCAAACTCCTTTCACAAGATTCCTTTTCAACTAAAATGGCACAATATTTATACGATTTCGTTATTCATTATTAAAATTTTTATTTTATTCTTTAAAAGTTCAGTAGATCGGTATGATTTTTTTCCACAACTTAAAACATTTTTATATAATTCCATAATATAATAATAAGTAGTTAAAGCTTTAAAATGTATTATTTCTTTATATTATTAACCTGTAATAAATATATCAGAATGTTTGAATTTTATTCATAAAAATTTAAAAAGTGGTAAAATATTTCAGTATGCGATAAATCCTTTTGGATGGTGTCGTAGAAGATTAAAATATACCGACCTTTAAACATATTTAAATTCCTTTTAAAACTACATACAATTAAAATTTAATGTATTTGGAAAAAATTATAATATAAAATTATGTATGTAAAATCTTTCTTCTTTCGAATTTAGAAATGATAATCCAAACCAGGCCGGCATTGTTATTAGTTCAGGGCGCTGAATACTAAACCAGTACGTTTTCCGTGTTATCAAGAACAGTTAGATTAATCCCGTTCTCTTAGTCTTTTAAATATAACTTTTAATATTAATATGGTATTATTTAATTTTTATAATATATTAATTTAGATTTTCAGTTTTACTCCATAATCCGAATATCTATTTTACAATTATCGATGAACATTCCGTTCGAATGTTAAGCGGAATTTATACCTGCGGAAATGTGATATGTGAGTCAGAAGAATGATCCGAATATCTTACGTGTATATTCATTTGATTTTTTATTGTCTTCTCATCAAGTTCGATTATACTCACCGAAATGAAAGTGAAAAGTGAATAACAGAACCAGTAGCTTTCTGTAATAATGTATATTTCTTATTTTAGGCAATAACATTTTTATTTTATTATAGTGATAAAATGGCCTTTATAAATTTAGTTTTCATTTGAAGGCCACTTGAGAACTTTGCGAAATAATAATTAGTCATATCATACATTTCCACACAATTGATAACATAAACACACATACATGTATTTAAACATACAGATAGACACGTAGAGTATATTTGAGAAAAATATGTGGTACTTACATAATGTGAAAAAGAGACGTGATATGTACAATATTTGACATACATAATAATTTGTAGCCAGTTTTATAGGGTGGGCATGACGCTGACGGACACGAAGGTGACAAAGACGAAGGCAATCCAAACTCATGAAGGTAACGTCAAGCGGAAATAAGGAGAGCCAGACTGAATCACATTGTTTCACGACTAGATTTCTAACGAAGTTTCCAACAATTGTTCCTCTTTGTTTTTCCATTGTTTTGCTGACTGCAGGATGTCATTCCACATCAAAGCTGGTCATTAATTCCTATGGAAAGAACCAAGCTGGAATGCATATATTAAACTGCTTTTTTTTTCCTCTTTACTTTCTCTAATTTACTCTCTGGGTGGAAAGTGAAACTACATATATGGAAAACAGCCTGTGAACTCCAATAATAATCATATTACTGCCTTGTTGTTCCTGACGATATTTTATTCTGATATTGACCAGTACTGAAAGTTACTACTGATGAAAAAGGTGACATTACTTTTATACAATTTATACCTTTTATTGGACAAATTTACTTGGACAAGATTGGTTAGCATAATGAATCTATTAAACATTATGGAATTTAATGTCATAAAAAATACAAACAAATAAAAAATTAACTTATCAAATAAAATTTGGAATTTTGGATTTTAAAACGAATTTATTCATTCATGCATGGTACATAACTGACCTAATGTACGAATGAAATCATAGGTATTTATCCATCTCTTTATATATATATGTGTATGTTTTTTTCAGTTCTTGCTAGTGTCACTAGCGTGTATAGCGTTAGTGCGGTGCGAGGAAGACAAGAAAACTGGATCAAGAAATACACGGGGTTATGCCTTAGGGTCAAGGTAGTTTTTCAACCATTATCACTTAATAAATTATTGATTATAATGTAGTTACTTAATCTTAACTATAGATTGACAAAAAATAATTAATTTTTAGTTTTAGAAAAAAAAAGGAAAATACAAAGGCTTATAACAGAAATGATTGTCTATTTTATTTAATGAATTTCAGTGGTAGTGGTGGTGACTACGGAGGTGGATCCGGTGGATACGGAGGATCTGGAGACTTAGGAGGACATAGTGGCGGCTACGAAGGAGGGCTTAGTGGAGGATCTAGCGGCGGAGATTACGGTGGCGGATATGGTGGTAGCTACAGCTACGGAGGTAGTGCAAGCTACGGATCTTCTGGCAGTGGTGGTTACGGAATAGGAGGAGGACTTTCAGGCCACGACCTTGGTGGAGGTAGCGCTAGTAGTGGAAGTTATGGTGACCTTGGAGGAGGAAGTTATGGAGGCAGCTACGGAAGCAGCTACGGAGGAAGTATTGGGGGTGGTGACTCCCATGGACTTACTATCGCCAGTGTTGGAGGTGGACACGGTGCCGAAACTAGCAGTCTAGGAAGTGGAAGCTATGGAGGTAGCAGTTATGGTGGCAGCATATACGGCGGCAGCCTTGGCGGGCACAGTCTAGGAAGCGGTGGAATCGGAGGAGGTAGTTATGGTGGAAGTTATGGATCAAGTTATGGAGGTGGTCATGGCGGAAGTTATGGAGCTAGTTATGGAGGTGGTCATGGCGGTGGAGATCTCAGCAGCTACAACAGCCTGGGAGGACATGAAGGTGGCGATGATGGTGGTCATGAAGAGAGTAGCAGTGGAAGTGGATGGGTACCACTCTCCGGGCATGGTGGAGACGGTGGATCTGGAGGATATGGTGCAGGTGGTTACGGAGCAGGTGGTTACGGAGGAGGTAGTTATGGAGGTTATGGAGCAGGAGGATATGGATCTGGACTCCTCGTCGGGCACTTGCCATTAGTTCATCAGGAACCTCACGTCCACGAGACCACCAAGGCCATCCCTGTGCACAAGACATTGGCTATCCCAGTGCCACATCCAGTAGCCCACCGCATTGCCATCCCCATCCCTGTTAAAGTACCTGAGCCTTACGCTATCAAAATACCAGTACCAGTGCCAGTCGAGAAAACTGTCCAGGTTCCAGTCGAGAAAGTTATTCCTTATCCAATTGAGAAGCCAGTACCCGTCAAGGTTGTGAAGAAGGTTCCCTATCCAGTTGCTAAGCCATACCCAGTACCTTACCCCGTTTATAAGGTCAAATACGTATACCACACAAAAAAGCATCACGACTAGTCTACTGCCTTTCTAACTGTTTTTGTTGTTGTTATTGTTGCTGTTATATATTGTTATAAGACTGGGCCATGTAAATATACGTAATATATATTTTTTATAGTAAACTTAAATATAGTTTCTTTATTACCTTTTAAATCTCAAATAAGTATAATAAATACAGATCGCATAAATATCTGACAAATATGGCTTTCATAGCTTTCTTGCCATTTCAATTGCTTACATAATTACCAACGTTAGAATTTGTATTGTTTGAGAACAAATTATAGAAGAAACTGTGAAAAGTAGTATAATCATATCAAGGCAAAAAACGCACGCCTAAACGAAAGAAGCAGACAGACTTAAGGAAAATCGACATTAGATTATTTAGGTATCAACCCTTAAAATTCCTGAAATTTCATCAAATCAAACTAACGCAGTTGTTATGAATTTGACTACAGAAAGACATACAATTTAAAACTTACACCCTCATTTAACTATTGTATAAATATATGCTTTCTTTCCGTATATTTCCTACTTATTATATTTCATGGCACTTATATTCTTAACAATTGCTTTAATTTAAATAACTGTACAATGATCCCCGAATTTCTTTTAACTTTGTACCAGATCGAACGCGATATTTTTTTCAATAAAGCCATGTCAAGAAAATACTTCAACACGTTGGTGAAAGAATTTTTTTTTTAAAGTATTGAACTGAATTTGATATAGCTGATACCTATTTCTTTCTATTTGGAATCTAAATCTTTTCATCTATTCATAACACTCTTGCAACAAAAGTCTAAATAGAAGGTTTTAGAGTTATAATAGTACCAAATAGGTTTGTGCGAAAGTATGGGATGGACTTTTAGTTTTATAAGTATGCTGTGTTTTTAGCAACCCAATGTAATTGGACAGCACCATTTTATGATAATAAAGTGATTCTCTCTCTCTCTAGGCTAAAATTTGTAATTATATTAATTTATAATTAAGCAGGAAAGAAGATAGTAGAAAGTGGGAATATAATATTAAACGCCCTCCAAAACAATCGAAAACTCCTGGACATTTCAAAATCAGCTTGGCTGAAAAAAGCTACAATGCCGCCGAATTCCAGATAATGAGAGACAGAGAATTGGTTTCATTAATTGGAAAATTTAATACATTAATGGAGAATTTTCGAAATACCAAGAAGCTCAGAAATTCAATGATCTACACATCAGCATGTTGCCTAGAACTTACCGAGCATTCATGAATGAAACCATGTCCAAACGTTGAAGGTGAAGTTGAAAACGTTAGGAACGATCCTTTCATAGATTACTCCAAAATGGGGCGCATGCACTTCGTTTAAGCCGCCCCTACAGTGGGAGACAAGAAAGTGAATAACCCGAGTGATCAAATATTTTACAAATTTTGGTTTGAAGTATCATTTCGCTACATTTTGGAAACTGACTTTGTTCCTGTCATCCTTTGATAATTATTAACAGAGTTATAGTCATTTGATTGTTTTATCTAACTAATGCATCTTTTTCAAAGTAAATGAAAGCTATAAGTAAGAAGTAATGGTTATAAAATATTATTTCGCATTAAAATTATTCAAAAAAGTTAAATACAGCATTATGTCTTTGTCTTAGGCCTGTAAAAAAAATTGAACCGAAAATATATGCTCATAGAACAAAAATTGCGAAGTTTTTTCGCCTTCTGAAATTTTTTTTTTTTTCTTACAGGCTTTGGCAGTGTGGCTGTCCATATATTTTTTAACCTCCTGCTAGAATACATTTTTTGTCTTTGGCAATGAGGAAGCTATTCGTGTAACAGTAATGTTGCAAAGAGAATCAGCGAATGTCCAGTTTTTCCCTTGAATGTATAAAAAAAGATAGGTCATTCATTGATGCAATGACACACATTCTGTGCCAACAAATATCATAAAATTTATATTTCTTCTTTCAATTGTTATGGTTAAAGGTATAGAAAAGATTGTATTCGAGTCAAAATTTCGTTGTGAAGAATTCAACAGATAAATGCTTTTCAGAACTATGCGATCCTAAAAATGTGGTATTCGGCATTGGTCTATTTATTTTTTATCTACCATGATTTATTAACTATATCTCGAATTATTTTACCGAATTTTATTAGTTTTTATGTTTATCATGAACACAGATTCAGATTTACATTCTGGTTGAGGGTGCGATGGATCCCATTTCTCACCCCTTCTCCCATTCCCTCGTTCTTCTCTTCCACCAACAAAAAAAAACTATAGGGAATTTATATTATGTATAAAAAGAATTATTGATAATTAACATACTTCATATAATTATTGTAAAACGAACAATACATTACTATATATTTATAAATAAATTTAAATATCTTTTTTAATTAATTTTACTTTTCTATATTTTTTCGCTAATCGGTATATTTGAAACTATGTTAACGAAGGAATTGAATATATTACATATTTTTATTTTTATTAAAAGGTTTGAAGCTTTATTAAAAGGAGCGAGATGAACTTTCAATACTCCGATGCTCAAATTTGCCGCGGAAATGTGACACAAGCCTTAAAAATGGAAAAGATGCTAAAGAATGAATAAAAAAATCCTAGGACGTAACGCTAAATAAAATTATCTTTGAATATAAACTAAATTTTCAATAAAGGAGCATAGGGCGCGGTAAAATACTCGGTACCTACTTCTAGATCTTATCTTAGCCATCTGGCCGACTTTTCCTATTTTCTTAATTTATTTGAGTTTACATATTTCATTCATTCATGTAGATTAATTATTTTTTATTTTCGTTCTTCGAAATATTGGAGGAAGGGAGGAGAACGAAACGTTTCCTCTCTATTTTTATTGAGGGGACCATCACCCCCTCTCTCCTTCCCCCCAAAGTCTGAGCCTACGATCATGAATGCCTGTGTACCAAATCGGACATTAAAATACATATATAGTCAAAGATACAGAAAATAATTAATTAAATTTATAATACCGACTAAAATCGCTTTATTTCACCCTTACACATCTATTCCATGCCCCAATTCATTTTAATTTTCTCGACGACATTTCAGGCAATTTCGCCCATTTTCAAGTCTAATATTTATGTCATTATTATATAATCCATATAGTTATATTTTTTATATAATTATTGTAACATTTATCTCCTCAGATTTTTCTAATTCATAGCTTATTTATCAAAAGTCAATTCTAAAAAGCTGTGAACCGTCAAAAAATTAAACGCTATTTTAAATTTACATCAAATGTTACAAATTTTCGTCCTTTTAATACAACAGCCTAATTTCCACTCAGTGGAATGGTCAAAATAATGTTTAATTTTTTGACGGTTCACAGTTTTTTAGAATTGACTTTTTCATAAATAAGTTATGAATTTTATAATTTAAAAAAATGTGAGAAGATAAATGTTACAATGATTATATAAAAATATAATTATATGGATTATATATTAATGATATAAATATAAGATTTGAAACTGGGGAAAATTGTATGAAACGTCGTCGAGAAAATTAAAATGAATTGAAACATGGAGTAGATGTTTAAGGGTGAAATAAAACGATTTTGAAATATAAATTTTATTAATTATATATGCCCTTCAAAATTTAGAAGAGGTAATAAAAAAACAGAAAATAATTTTATATTTTCAGAAGACCACGACTAGTATTTTCAGATTACCTGGATAAATTAAAGAATAAACAAGTTAAATAAAGCTTGAACAAATGGCATAACATAAGTTTCTTTCTTTCATCTCAGCTATTTTTTTATTTTATCTTTAACCGTCAAACTTTCAAATCCATTCAATTTTTTTTTATCTGAACCTGTTTAGAATTTTATATTTGTGTTTTATATTTATCCATTTTGTATAATTACTTACAAAGTAATATTACTAACCTTTAATCATTTAACTATTATTGATAACCTTTAATCATTTAATTATTATTACTAAACTTTAATCATTTTGATAAAAAATAAGTTCAATGCCTACATAATAATAAAGACCAATTTAAATCGCCTTGACGGGTTTAATGAAAATCGTTAGTCCCGTTACTGGTTAATCGGTTTTGAAGAAAAAGTTGCAGTAACATTGCAATAACATTCAAATTCCCAATTAATTCCCAGAAGGGAATTTTATGATGAAAGTTGTGCCATCACAATTGTTGCGAGGAGCACATTTTGGAGGGATTTTGAATTTTTGAGGGGAGCACATTACGATGGATTTATGAATTTTCGGATTGAAAAGTTTCAAACAAGATGACAAAGAAAATACATGGAATAAACCTCATCAAGTGCAATTGTATATGATTTACGAATCTTTTATTTCTGATGTTTTTAATAAAAGGAGAACAATAAAATATCTAGGAAAGGGAAGAGAGAAGGTTCATATATATATTTTTTATATGGAATACCATCGACCTTGGGGAAGACCTCTGATTCAAATATAAAACTCAATGTTAACATCAATCTGTAAATATTCCCTAATTAATATATCAATAACCGCACAGCAAAAGTCTGTAATAATAATAATTCAAAATTAGACGGAAAAAAAACAGTGGAATTCTTATTTTATGAATTATTATATTTTCTGTTTAATTTTGCAAGCGTAAGACAAAGATGAAATGGTCTATGTAACTTATTTTATCGTATTTCAGCAAAATAGTCTTTTAGACTCATTTTCATAACTTACGGGAATTCACTTCTAACATACAGCTAAATACAGATATTTGTCATGTAAAATCTATAGAGTTTATTGTAGTAACGCATCTATCATCAATTAACACAGAATCTGACATGAGTCCAAGGTACTTGATGCAGACATTAAATCACTTCTCGAATCCATTATTTGATACAGGAGTGCTCAGAAGGGGATTTCATGGTGCAAGTTGCGCCATAAATGTTTAAGGGGGGTACATTTTAAATGGGATTGAATTTTTGAGGGGGAGGGAACACTTTTCGATTGGTTATGATTTTTCAAAATGAAAAGTTTCAAATAAGGAGAAGAGTAATGCTTAGAACATACCCTTG